TTATTATAATCATAAAAAATCATTGTTTTCGTACTAAACCAGAAACTGGCCTTTGTAATATGTAAGATAAAAAAATCTTATAACAAAAGAGTTATCATTTGATTCATAATATATTTAATATTTAATATAACATTCTATTTATATCAAATTATTATGTCTGATCTTATTTCATCGCAACCACAAGAATTCATAAATACTGGAGTTGTTTGATGCAAAGTTTTGAAAAAGAAGAGTAATAAGACACTCATATTTTTGACATGTACTGCTCCACTAAGATTCCAATAGAATTTATGCCAATACATTGTTACTTATACTTTTGTAAATAGTGTCATTATTTAGTGGATAATCAGTTAGGCCCGACTCATTCCTAACGAAACTTGCCGAACTTTTACAAGAATTGATAGGAAAGTGTTTAATAAAAACTGATGAATCCGTTGAAACTGCTGATTTGTAGGGTAACATAGGAAATGGTGCCCTAGCAGTGCCTCTTGTTGGCAAAGGTCAAAACTAGTAGACTAAAATTGTGACTGATATAAAAAAAAGATGAACGTCCAAATTTGATCAAATGACAAGATCTGTAACTTTCAAAAATCGAATGAGAAAAAAAATGAGATATTGATTCATAAAAAATTGGATAGAATTCAGTCACAAAATCAGAAGATATGGTTTTCCTGGAGAAAATCAATATAAATAATATATAATATGAATAGAAAATAAATAGATAACGATAAACTGCTATTTCGCTTTATGTATATTTCATTAAATAGATCATACTGTTAGTACTATTGGAGGTTGTGATATTTATGTTAGTCAAAATCCATCTGGTATCAGTCGTAGTGTCAGCATGTATATTTATTTATCAAGTTGAAGAACAGAAGCGCATAAAACACATTTTGGCTCTCGTTGATTGCTAAAGTCCAATCTAATCGTGTCACATATAGAATGGCATGTCATGAATCTTTGATCATTTTATTTTTAAAATTGAAGCATTTTGATCCGATCATAGCTGTAAACAAGGTCTATCTTCACAGCATACTAAATAGGCAATTAGTTATTGATACTTGTCAGCAATGTGAATACTTGTTGGATAAAATAAATAAATACAATTGAGGAGTGATTCAAATTAAACCTAATAGCCTTTTGTTCAGTCTATATTTTCATAATAGAGCTAATCATATAGAATAATATTTTGAATCTGCTAGAACATATACAAATCTTCTCACGTTTGCATTTTGAGTCTGAAATACCCATGTGCATTCCATTTGTTGTTTAATTATTATCATATTCATGAAACTTCCTCCGCACTTAATTTACTTCGTAATCGATAGACCTTTTTTGAAATGCTACAAAACAACCTACTTTGTACAGTCTAAAATATTAGCCCACGTAACAAAATCCTTATTTCATTAATCTTAGGGTCCAGTTTTCAACTTTTCAGATTCATATTTACTGATTATTCAAGCGGAATAATATGTATTACACTTCAAATAAATATTATATTTGAAGTTAGCACAAAAAAATGAGTTGACTTCACTATGCTTCATACTTTTTTTGTAAGTTTTTTTTTTGATCAAATTCTTACACCTGAGTCGCTCCGGGGTATGTGAAAAAATGAATTTAATCAAAACAACTATTTTATTGTTTAGTCACCTGTCTTTCTATCTTCAAATGACATTTTATAAGTTTAGAATTTATTTTCCACTGTCACGATAACTCATTAATTAAATTCATTCTTACACATATTCCTGAGGGGTCCAGATATGAAAATTTGATTAAAAAAAGTTGCAGAAAAAATTGGGAGCACATATCGGTTGACTGATTTCCTTTTTATGCTTATTCCAAATATAATAGTTACGTGAAGTGAAATGCATATTGCTCTGCTTGAAAACCATCGCATATCAGTCGAAAAGGTTGCAAATTGGGCCTCAAGAATGATAGATTAACTATTTTATTAGTCAACTCATTTTTTTTATCGTAAAAGAGTAATTCATTTTGTAGTTCTTGAAAAGGTCTATTGATTACGAAGCGAAGTAAGTGTGAAGGAAGTTTCATTAATATAATAATAATTAAACAACAAACGCAATGCCAATGGATATTTCAGACTCAAAAAATACGCATTGAAAAATTTCTATACTTTCTAGTAAATTCACAATATTAATCATCATGAATGGTCCTGTTATGCAAATGTAGACTGAACAAAGGATTATAGGAATAGCTTTAAATCATTCTCCAACACTATTTATTTTATATCAAAGAAGCGCTCATATTGATGCATAGTATCAATAACTAAATGCCCTTTTCGTAGGTTATGAAGATAGGTCCTCTTTACAGCTATGATCGAATCAAAATACCGGAATTTTAAAATCAAAATGATCATTAACCCATGATCTTTCGTTCTATATAACTTTCAACTAAATTGGATTCATCATTTGACATTTCAAGTGAAAACAATAATACCAAAAACAAAAACTAACGGCTGAATACACATAGTTTGATAATGGCCGTATAAATAGAGTGAAATGTCAGTTTCTTTTTATTAAAATAATATTTATTTAATTTCGATTTTTACTACATATGACTTATATCGAGTATAGTAGGCCATTGAGATCACAAAAGAAATATTTTTGTAAAAGCAAACATTTTCAATTGATAATCTATTACATTAGTTTTTCGTACTGATTTCCAACTTTTTAACTATCGAAAAAACTGATATTAAAACTTTGTTTATTATTGAAAAATAATTATCTCTCATTTACAATTCACGTATAAAAAAAAAGCTGAAATTGATGTCATCACATAAGTTTTAGAATTTTTTTCAAACATTATTCTTTTTACAAGTTTGATGAGTTTGTATTGAATTGTATATATAACTCTATTCTCTTATTTTCTTCTGTCACTGTTGAACGTCGTTCATTATCAGAAGATATTCTTTCCTACTTATGCAACTTTCAACCTTGTACTTTTAAGTCTTGTGTTAACATTAGAATAAGTAAAGTAGAAATAATATATAGATATGTGCGAGATTAATTAATCAATGTATAACATTTATGCATTGTATTTACCATAAGAACCACATAAATTAAGGATGGAAGACTTTCAATAGATAATTGATTTACTTGGTATGGCGGATGTCATTGAGTTCTGAATGGATTCATTGACGCATGTTCGTCAACATATTTGTCTGTTAGATTGCCCTTTTATTGGTGTTAATCATACGATTGATTTTGTTTACATTGTTGACGCATATTTATTCCAGTATTTTGCGTATCAGATAATGGAAAGTTTCTCGGTGACTTTTATAAATGTCTTTCATGTAATGTACTCTCTTATTTTATGTTAGCGATAGCTTGAACAATTTAACTGTTAGTATTTTTATATGTTTGTATACATTTCAAAGGTTCTAGTACATTTTTTGTAAGTAATTATGATAATAGATCTTCAAGTTTGATAAGACAATCTTGTTAGCATTCGGTCTTGCGTATCTTTTTTTTCTACACATTTATCTTCGATGCTATCAATAGGTCTGTGTCGCCAGATATCAACTGCGTTTATAGCTTTATGACAACTCATGTGAATTTGTTGCCCAGAAGCATTCACATGTTTGACTAATTTTCTTCACAATATTCGCTAGCTTTTGTCAAAGGAAGTATTTCATGAGCAATCATATATGCAACATAAAAAATAATGATTGCAACGTAGACAAATAGTCAATTGTACATTTGGCAATTGATTTCTCTTTATAGATAATCAAATGTAATCAGCATATGTCATACAAATATTAAGTATAAGAAAAGTTAAGACGATTATCTTCTAGATATGAATTACGACGTTTTTTTCTAGTTGTTGCTATTATTTATGTACTCTTTTCTATGTTTCATTTTCTATTCTGAAGGGTACTTTTTTTTGCTATAAGTATATTGTGTTTTTCCGCAATAATAAACGTAATGATTGAGTAGTATAATTGATGTTATAATTAGTAAGTATTGTTTAGTAGATAGACTATCGAAGATTAATGATTACCATCAGTAACACTTCAGCGAAAGATTTAACACATATGTCGCAGCTTTGTTTGTGCGTGTGAAAAAATATGAAAAAAATTTATCTGGTGTGTGCGTCTGAGTATAGCTAATTTAGTACATTCTGTTGTTTCCATTGTATTCTTAAGAATTTGTTTCTCCTTCGATATACAATCTTAAGCATTATATTAACAAGAATCATCAGATCATCACAGACATCGGTAGCATAAAATGAATCGAAGCAAATAATTTAGTTCTTTTTATGTTTGGCGGAAATTCTCAAGACTACGTCAGGAGATAAAACCATAGATATTTTACTTTCTCAGATGACTTTCTAAAATCCAACATTAATAAATCAGATGATGTCGATTTCATCCTCTGATATTTATACTGATTATTGAATTAAAACTTGATAATTCTACTTATTTTAATATATTCAATAAAAACAAATGTTTAAATCTTCTTTACGATGATATATCAAAAAGTGTCTTTAATTATGAATCATTAGTTAACAAAATTATGTTTCTCCAATGTGAAATAGTTTAATAAAGACATTCATCAATTAAATAATAGGTTGTTTTACGTATGAAAACAACAGAATAAAATTGATTAGTTTATCGTAGCGAAAAATGTTCCTCTGTCATAAATTTCTAGAAGGTTAGGAAACATAAATCTACAGAACTTTTTCATTGTCAAACAGTGAAATAAATCATTAAAAATCTAGAAATGATAATTAATTCTCATTGAAAAGTATTTATAACTGATATTTTAATATATCATTTGCTGTGTACTATCGAAATAATGATTGTTAATATATTTCAAATTAACACTACTAATCGATTGCGATGAAAGACTCATTCATTTTGATAGTTTCTCTTTTATCACATTAACAGACAGAAGGTTCACTTCTACAAATGATAAAATATAGAATTAATAATACCTTTATATTAGAAATAATTTCAAAAATTAAAACTTAACAAAATCTTAACGAGCTTTTTTATTTTCTAAATAATTAGCATCATTTTCATGTCCATGTCCATATGAATGTGACCAATAAGTAATAGCATAAATTGGTTTAACAATATCTTTACATTTATTTTCATTAAATGTAGGTTTTTCTGCTGAACATACATCTGTACCAATGCCACTCATCCAATCATATGCATTGATTAATTTTGGTCCTAAAAATGTTATATTAGCAACTTCTAATATAGAATCTGATTTTTGATTTTCTTTATTTCCAAAAAGTTGATCAAGTGTTTGAGCTGTATGTTGATTTGAATGTAAATAAAACATTAAACCTTCAAAAAGTGATTGTGGTCCAGTAAAAAATTCTGCTTTACCATTCCAAAAACTATTCCTTTCTTGATCTGTTGCACGAGACCATAATAACATAATTCGATATAAAATATATGTCCATAATGGATGATTAGGTCGAGAAACAAGCCATGAATTTGGTACACTATTCATGGAATTAAATGAATAATTTATTAAAGAAAGTACTATATATTTATTAATAAATAATTCATCAACTCGACGTACTGATTCATAATCTAAATCAATCTATAAATCAAAAAATATTTCCTATATTTTTTCAAAAAGAAAAAAAAATCAATATATTACATAAAGTCCACCATAATATAACATATATAAATAACGTACACTATCCACTCGAAGAATAGCTGGTGATAATTGTTTATATGTTGAATAAAACCATGGAAATTTCGTTTGAACAAATAAATCATTTTCATCATCTGTCCATAAATGATAATACCAATCAGTATATTGTTCACACCATGTTTGACTCCAACGTGCTTGTCGTTCACGTAATGTTTTATTTTTCCATGTTTGATGAATTATTTTTGGAATTTCATGCCATGTTTTAGAATGAAACCATCGATCTAATTCATCTATTGAAACATGTTTACAACTAGTCGTTGATGCAATCGAATCAATATTTTTTTTAGTATTTTTAATTGAAGAAGAATTTCTTATAATTAATGTAATAATTATAAAACTGAATATAAAACAAAGAGAAAGTAGTAATAATCTTTTAGATGGGCCTACAAAAAGTTATATATTTATGATCAAAGTCATTTTAATAAGTCAATATTTACGATAATCGGCCATATTGTTTGACTATATTAGAAAAAACGTTGACTTTTTGGTTCTTATCACAATGGTGGACGCTCTCCTTTTTTTACAGTGCATTTTTTTTACAAAGCAAACAGATTCTTGATGAATATAGTTACCATTTATTTTTCTCTCTTATCTCTTATCAGATCATGATACCTTATTAAGTATTGATTTAAAAAAAAAACTTTTTATTAATATAGTTTTAAAAAAATGTAATAAAAATAATTATTTAACGAAAACCTCCATTTTTTCCTCCTCATTTAACATTTGATATTAAATGTAATTATTTTTTTGAAAATAATATTAGCATATGTTATCAAGAAAAAGCCTTGAATCATTCTCAACTATAGTCACAAGAGACTTACTGTTGATCAAAAGGAATAGTGCAAATAACAAGATTTTTACTGTATCTTGTAATTAATATACAGTTAAATACTGGACTATTTCCGGTCTTTTCTTGTTATATATTAATAATTACTCAGGCATCAAAATATAATCACATGATTATTGTTGTTGTTGTTGTTTTCTACATGAAAATTAAATTCTTATTATTATACCATACATAATAAATGCAATATAAATTAGTTCAATTTTTGATAAATAAACACGACTTTCTACAAAAAAAAAACAATCATTTTGATCACAAATAAGCCAAATTACAGGTCATTCTCGAAAGGAAAATGTCGTTCACTGAGTATAAACTTTTCTTTTGTATGATTTATTATTATTTCGCTCATAATTTAAAAAATAAACAATTTTGTTTTTCCAATAATAGTTTCAAGTTGTAGTTATATTATTTTGTCTAATTGAAAAGTTCTTGTCACAAAATCTAATATGTAAATATTCTCCATATTTCTCTTATTCAAATTAAAAGCAAAAAAAATATGAATTTTTCTTATTCTTCTTTACTATCCAAATTAGACCCCATGGTTAGTCAATATCTCATGAGACATTCCAACACATATATTCATGCATACTATTTTATACTACAGATATATACACAGAAAGATAAGCAAAATCAAAGGTTATATATATATATGTATATAAATATATATAAGCACCGGCAAGAAAAGAAAAAAGAAAAGAAATGACACAGAAAAATGCAAATATATGTACACATATATACACACAGTAGCTATCAAAAATATTAATCGATTACGACTATTTTCAATAATCTTTTTTTTTCCACTTCTGTAAACACTAATAAGAATTTCAATAGTTATTTGAATAGAAAATTGTATTTCGAATAAGAATATTTGAAAATGAACATAATTGCCAGTTACTCAAGATCAAGATCTCTGAAACATCATAAACACAGTATTTTACGTTCTAAAATTTACAAATATAATTCTGTTTGGATTACCTAAAATGATAGAAGAAACAATTCTCTACAGAATGAAACGTCTTCCAGCTATGAACATAATTATTGAAACAAGATAAATCAATTTTACGAGAGGACAAAAGTCAGTCTTTTTTCAATTATTTCGTCTAGGACAAGAACTTTTTATACCATTAGCAAGGTTAATCTATCTTAATCAAAAATAAGACAATATCTTAGAGAGGTTAAAGATGTTTCATATCATCAACAGTTGTTTATTCTGTCATTCTAAATAATCTAAACAGAATCAGATTTGCAAATTTTCGGACCTGAAAATCTTGCTTGTTCATAGACGTTATTCTCAGAAAATTGGCAATTATCTTCATTGTCAAGAATTTTTGTTAAAAATTAAATTCTTTATACAATTCATTATTTGAATTTTTATTAGCGTTTACAGCAACGAAAAAAAAGCAATTGAAAATAAGCCTGGTCGAATAATTTTGGGAGCCATTATGCACGTACATATACATATGTATATAAGTAACGTTTGTTTGTTTTTTTTTTGTTTTTGTATATTGCAACATTAAAAAATATGTTTATTCATTAAATGGTGATATGATATCGGAAAGATAAGGATTTTTTAAAACACCATCAATAAATTCATCTTTAGTTAATGTATGATCATTATTAACATCAATTAATGAAAACACATCTTCAACACAACGTTCAGGTGGATAATCTTTTTTAGGTTTTCCTAATAAATCATACATAGCCGATATAACTCTTATCATTTCTTTTCGATCAATTGAATTGTTTTTATCTTTATCATAAAGTGCAAATACATAATCAAGTTTTTGACGCATCGTACCTAATGAAGTTATAGCATAACCACCTAAAGAAATTTCTATATAAATTTTTATGGAAGAAAATTAAAATTAAACATACAAAGAAATTCATTAAAATCAATTTTTCCATTTGAATCACGATCAAATGCCGTAAAAACAAAATTGGCTATTTCCTTAACTTTTTCATCTGATTCAACACGTAATGTACGATAGAATTTATAAAAATTTTTTCGATTCATTTTGCCTGATGGACAAGCCATTAGAAATTGTTTTCTAATAAATAAATAAACAAAAAAGAAAAAGAAATTACTGAATATTGTATAATATATTTGTTTTTTTCTTTCATATTTTACTTACCTCCATGCAATAATAACTTCACGTTCTAAGCCTGTTTCTTCCATTAATTTATCAATAACGGTTTGATCAAGACGATTTTTTTCAATTTTATTTCCCATTATTAATAATTGTCTGAATATGACAAAGAAGTTAGAAAAAATAATACCTATCTAATGAAAAACAAATAGAAAGTTCAGTTTTGAAATTGTTTGAAAGAAAAAAAGGAAAAGATATTATATTACGCTTTTTTTTTTTACTAATTCAAGTAAAATGTGTCGGTGTGCACATGACGCAAAAACAAAAAGAAAAAAGAAAAACGTAGGCAAGAACAACTTCTCATTACTATTACTATCGAACAACAGACAATAGTTAGTTTTTTATTTGTTGTATATAAAAATGCATGCACTTGTCTAGTCTCTTGAGAATCCAACACTGTATAATGTTGCCTTTTCTCATCATGTTACTATTGCTCTTAATCAAATATGACATCTGAGAAATGAAAGTATTGTAGAAAAAAAGTTGTAAATAGCTTTTTATATGCATATGTAAGAAGAAAAAAAACTAAGAAAAAATGATTTATAATTGTTTCTGATAATTGTTATTTTTGCATTACAGAAAAATATTTTAATTACATAAACGTTCTTATTTCCGAATGAACGTTTTAAAAAAAGAAACATAGCATTTCTTGTTCTTTTGTTTCCTCCTCTATATTACTCATATATATCAATCAACGAAATGAACTAATTTAAAAACAATATTGCTGAAAAATTTCTGTTAAAGTAAAAGTAAAACAAAGAAACAAAAGAAGACATAGTTATCAATCAGATATATATCTAGAAAAAAATCTAATATTTATAACTCTTAAATGTCGATAAGCTTAGGTATATTTCTATGCCATTTTGTAGTGGAAAATTTCTTATAGTTATGAAATCCTCTCATGTATCTTGGTACTGATATAACTATTGTTTGTCAATAGGACAAATCAGGTTGATGGACTAATATGACTTGCATTTCTGTTTGTTATTAGGATATAATAAAAATTTTTCTATACTTAGTCAACTATGATTGGAACTAATGCCATTTTGTATTTCTTCATATTACTTTTACATGAACTTCCTATGTATTTTTCTTTGATGTTTCAGAAAACTGAGTTTTATTGCTTGTTTTTTCTTTGCCATTGATATATTTCTTCTCTAAATCCTTAGTTATCTCATGGGATCATTTTTCTCGTCAGTATATTTAATTTTTTCTCTTTTCATTTGAGCAGTCTACAGGTTTAAACAGTTCATGATTGTCTTTCTCAAGAGATTTTCCTTTTTTTTCTCTATTCGTTTTTATCATTTTTTTTTCTTCAGAAGCAATTCACGACTGTCAATATCATAATACCATAGATCAAGTAGAAAATAAAGTCATTTGAGTCTTTTTGCCGATATCCTATCAGTATTGATGATCCTACCTGACTTAGCTGTATCGATAAGAAAAAGAAATCAATGAAAATAAGAAAATCAACTATTGTTAGTTTGAATAGAAAAAAGAAAAATAAGAAAATGAGAACAACCTATTGATAAAAAAAAGGACGATAAATACGTTATGGTCATCGAAGCAAACTTATTATTGTTAACAGCAACCATTAAGAATCATTGACAGATGGATAGACGCACAACAGCCAATCTTAATTTTCTTATACGACTTATTTTCTTTTCTCGGATGCGATCCAAGGACTAGTTAATAAATAGATAGATAGATATTCTTTTTGCTATATTTGCGTTGTTCGTTCTATAAACATCATTTTCTTGTTTAGGTCTCGGTTTTCTTTTCTTTTCTCTTGGTTATTTTTTTATGGACAGATTTTTGTTTTGTTAGTACTAAATCGCTGTGCTTTTCTCTCTCTTTTTTTCGACGCCTTTGTCTTTCTTGTTCTACAATGCATCAAGCGATCAAACGTCAAATATAAATGTTGATGATACTAAGACTCTCTTTTGATTATTTATTTGTTGTTTGTTATTCTTAAACGTTTGTTTGAGAGACTCTATGCTTATAGATGACAATTATCGTACAGATTTTATGTGGAAATAAAGATTAAAAAATCAATAGATACTCTCTATCAGCACATGTGTCTTATTTAATAGGATATACTTAATATTAACGAGAAATATATTAGTTCGAATTGTCGAATAATCAAAAACTGATTTCTAGTTATCTCAATTTCCTTATCAAAATATTCATGTCAAAAAAATGATAGCATAATATCATACTCAATGATGAATGATGTTAATTAAGAACTGAAAAAAAACAAACGAATTCAATCAAGCTTACTCTCAAGAAAGAAAAAGGATGTGTGAAAACTAATCAGTTTGCTTTATTTTTAAATGCTTTCGACACTCCATTCGTTAATCTATATAATATTCTGCTAAATTAATTATTTTGCTAAAAAATCTTTGATATAATATTCATTTTCTTATAAACGCTTCTAATCGCAATTTAAATATTTAATGGTCATATGTTTCAATTCTTTAACGTACTAATGTTCATATGAATTAATTCTATAGAATGAAGAAATATAAATTCAGTATTTTTATTTTTGTTTCTTAAAAAAAAACGGTATATGGATAGGTTTTTTTATGAATAAACCGAATGAATGATAAGCTTACGCACGTTATGTCAACAATATATGTACCTAGAAAAGAAACGATAACTGGCTTCAGTGATGAAACAATGTTTGTTACCGGAAAGGACGGATATACAAACATTCATGCGACGGGTGTTTGTCTCTTGTCTGGGCAATGTTCATATGTGCAATTAGAGAACGAAAAGAATAGACAACAATAAATACAGTCATTGACTTGAGTTATTTTGACTAGGAAAGCAACACTTCTATACAGTATGCTTTTAGTCCTAGTCTTCTACTTACCTTCTCTAGTTTTAGCTCGTATAGGCAAGTATAAAGATAATTTTTGCAACGTTATTATTATTATTATGATTTGTTTTTTTTTTGTTAATGTATGAACTCAATTAGGTCATTCAAAACAAAGTTATTGTTTGGATGAAATAAAAAGTGGTGCACTGTCACTTGGATGTCCAAATAATCAATTAATAAAATTGGGACGTGTTATTTATGGTTATTCATGGTCAAATGATTGTTCATATATTGATAAAGATTGTACAATGGATGTACCGCATGAAGATATTATTTGTTTGACAACTACAAATTGTACAGTTCGTGTTGTTGAACATCCATTAATATTACAAGATTGTTGGAATTTAGCTGCATCATATGTTCAAGCTGAATTTGAATGTATTGCAGGTCTGTATTCTTCTTCGTTTGTTTTTAATATTAAAATATCATCGAAATGACAAAAATTGACTAACTAAATAACAAAGAAACACACAAAAGAAGATCACGAAATCTGCCATGATAGGAAAAAAAAACAAACAATGCATGTTATTATATAAAATTAGCTTTTCTAATGAACAGAAAATAAGAATTCTTATTATCATAATTATCATATTATAGAATATTCGCTTCAAAATGTCTGTCAACCTCAAGATACAACTTTAACATATGGTTTTCTCTCAACACCAAATTATCCACATGGTTTTTCACCAAATCTTAATTGTCCATGTGCATTATTTGCATCACCAGGTCATGCTATCGTACTTGAAGTTATTGATTTTCGTTTGCCAACATGTGCTGAAGCTGGCCTTATTCTATGGCTTGGACAAGATTTTCAAACGAAATGTCTTACACAAGATCCACTGACAGTTGTTAGCAATGTTCAACAAAATGTTACACTTCGTTTTTATACATTAGCTTCTGTTAAACATGGTGGATTTTTAATAAAATATTCTGTTTTACCTGTATCAAATAATGCAACCGTACGCTTACAATGTTATGTTGCACCAGCTGTGAGTCGGCCACCAGCGTCAACAAAATTTCCCGCACCAAATATATCACAACAGCCTTCTTTACACGCTTCTAATATGAATAACGAAATGAATGTTCCTATTGATCAAGAAAGACGAGAAGGCGGAGGCGAACGAGAAGAAGTACCATCGCCGTCATTAGTTGTTACTCATCCCAATGATTTAATAAAACGATTTCCATCCGGACATGATGTAGCTCCGCCTATACTTGGTACACTTGAAGAACATAAAGTGTGTGAGCATATTTTAAAGCATGAAATCTTCGTCTCTTTTTTTTTTCTTTAGGATATTATGTTGTTAGCTGGCGTTAAACAACAATCACAGCTGCAAGGTCTTAATCAATCAATTTATAAACGATGTAAAAGAGAAATAATTCTTTTTTTGTATTAATTTAATTTTTTTCATTTTAATTAAAAAATTTAGATTTATTTCCTAATTCGTCATCTTTTCGTCGTTCAAATATGACATTAATTGTCGTCTGTGTTGTTGCTGCTGTCATCTTTCTTCTGATCATGATCAATGCTCTCATATGGTTCATTTTTTCGTTGCGGTAAGCACAAATCGGCTCGTTAATCCTCCTACACAGCACGCAACTGCATCTTCTATCGTCTTATATTATTGCTATTATTATTATTGTTATATATCCTGTATATGTATATATTATGTATATAGACCATCCCGTTCCAAATCGACTACATCTTGCCAAAATTTGTATCCTCATCCAGCAACATTAGGTAGTGAAACGAAAACAACAACATCAAATTATCCAACGCCAGTACATCCTCGTCGTCATCATTCACAATCATCCTTACGTCTTGATGATTCGTCAATAATGTCAAATCATTTAGTGCGTCGAGATCGAATATTACCTCAAGCAGCAGCATCAAATCGTTTAAAAACGCTTCGTTCATTATTATTTCGTGGTCATAAAACTCTTGGAATCGATTCAATTGCAACAAATAATCGATATCATCATAATCATGATGTTGATTCCACTTTATCAGAATATCATATACGTTCTTTATCACAATCATTAGTTGAGTCACAATTACCAAAATCACGTTATGAAGAACAAGAAGATTGTGTTGAGCTTAAATCAGAATGTTCTTTTTTAACAAATCACAATCATGGTTTATTGAATAAAAGAAAGCCAAACCAAGAACCACGACAAATCAATTCTTGGGATGACATTTGACATGTTTCTTTTTCATTGTCTCTCTCTTACTTCTTTGTATTCATAATGAACACCTAATGTAACGTCACTAGGGAAAAGTGAGTTCAAACGCCATTCAATTAATGCATGCTCGTTTATCACCGGTGTCGTCGTCATCGTTGTTTCTCTCCTTTTTCTTCACCTTCGAATACTTTTCTTCTTTGACACACACACATTTACGCATGCAATGATTAAGTTTTTCCGAGAGATGAAACATCAACATGTCTCTTTAGATAGATATACAAAGATGTGCGAGTCAAGTCAATTTTAATCGAATGTTTTCTTTTTTATTGTTTTTGTTCGATCTCGTATTCATGAGCAATAGAGTATCGTCTTGTACGTGTGTGGATTGTGATGATGTTTAAGATGAAAAGAAAAAGAAAAAAAATCGAAGAAAAAAAAAAACGACCACACGGCTCAATGACATTCACAGATTTCATGTCCATTTGTCATTTTTAATAGTCTGAACAATAACATTAGGATGATGAGTTCTTACTATGAGTAAGTATAGCATTCAAGAATCCTTACTAAGAAATAAAAATTGAATGGATTAATAAAAAAAAAGTCGACAAGTTACTGTTTGAAGTTCTATTGGTATAAAGAAACTGTTGATTTTTAAAAATTTTTGAATCAAAGATGATTGGTCGAGTGTATTTGTAAAAATGGAATGAAAAAAAAACTGTTATATTCAATTTGTCATTTTCAATTATCTCTAGGTCGTTATTCAGTCCAAATCTGCAAACAAATTCCAATTCAGTTTTGTTGCCTTCACTTTTTTGTCCATTACCATCTTCACTCTTTCAACTGGATTCTTCATTTCGTCTCTATCATGAAGTATTTTTTCGACATCTTTTTGGTCAATATCTTCAACAACCACCACCACCACCACCACCAACAGTGTTATTAACACTTCCAACTATCATTCCTACTGTTTCAATAGAAAAAGAGTCTCATGTTTCATTAACAACAGAAAATTGTCTTGGAAAAAATTCATCATCATCAATATCTTCATCAAATTCAAAAGTTCGTCGTCGTTTATCATGCCCACAATGTTCATATGCAACAAATCGATTAAATAATCTTAAACGACATATACAAACAATGCATGAAATACTTTCAGAACCAATTGATTGTTGTGATCAATTATTTATAAGTAAAGCACATTTTCGTGCACATGTTAATACAGAACATCGTTGTGGTTATCATTGTGATACGTGTCGACGTACATTTTGTCGTAAAGCACTTTTAAGACGACATCAATCGATTCATTCAGGTCAAAAAGCATTCTTATGTCCTATGTGTTCTTATTCAACTAGTCACAAAGGAAATCTTGATCGACATGCTCGAATTCATCGACCTCAAAATGAACATAAGAATTTATCAACTTAAAGATTATTTTATTCATTGTATCATATACTATAAACAAAAAGTATACAGCTCATTTATTAAATCGAAATAAATAAATACAAAGCACAGTTTGTCTATTTTTCAAATTTGAATTAACTTCAAAATGGATAATTCTGTTTCAGAAAATAACAACAAACAATCTAATTATTTTGGTTTGTTTAGAACAAAAAACATTTTTGAGATTTCAGTTGAGAACATTAGAGATGAAAATTAGAACCTAAATGTATCGTTGCTATTTGTGACTTTAGAAGTATCTTTTAAAATCTTCCGTTCTCCACTTCAACATATCTTCTACGAGGAAATTAAGCAATTTTATCAGTACTTTTGTTGAGATAATTAAGAATCAAGTTAGTTATCCTCGTTTTCTAAAAGATGTATTAACTTTAACGTTATCAACCCTAAAGAACTCAACGATGAAGCAACAACGTCTTCAATTCTTCCCAATGATTTTATGTTAGTCTTTAGCTTATCTAACAACGAAAAGCAATTTGCGAATCGTATTTTTAATGGATACTTCGATAGATAGTCAGCAACAAAAAAAAACGTAAATTTTTCAGAAGATTTATTCGTCTATAGAACTCGTTGAATTGTTCATTTCAGTGAAAAAATATATTCAAATTTACTCAATAAATCATGGTGTTAGAATTATTACAGTACTTGAAAACATCGAATACTGCTCAGCAGCAATCAGGAATATTTTTCAGTCTAGCATCATGATTTAGTAAGTAAATTTCAATATTTTTTTTTCCACCAAAATGATTTGGTCAACAAGCACTACAAGCGAAAAAAACTTCTGAAAACATTAGGTTTTTGTCGTTGACTACTGATGAGAGCATTCATCGAAAATACGATTCACAAGCATTTTGTCGTTGACAGTTTGATCTGACGAACAACAAGTATAAAATAATCAATGAAACAATTTTTGTTTTGAATTTTTCAAAATAATTGGAAAGCAGTTTTTGTCAAAACTTTATTTTCTATAGTCGTACAACTATAAATAAAAAAATGAGCAAATAAATGATAGATCATGTTAAAAATTCCTTCAAAGTTGAAAAATGACGATTAGTGTAACCACGATCAAAAAAATACAAGTTACAGGATTGAATGATACCGATTTAAAATAATAATTACTTGATCACGACTTTTCTATTTATAAATCAAATTGAGTAGATCAGTAATGGGCTATTAAGATTTGCAAAACCAATATATTTAGTATTGTATGTATTATTAGTAAAAAAAACAAAAGCCTTATTTGTTAGTAAGCACATGAAGTTTAGCATCGTATTACGGGTTGATTGAAGGCGTCTATTGTTTGTTTTTTCAAGCGTTTCTTGTTCAAATGCATTCATAAAATTGTTTATTCATTTTTAATTATTTCTTTAGGAATGACATTGTGGAAAAACACCAATAATAACTTTGTTGATGAAAAGGTATTATTGAAAGAGAAAAATTCTTTTTGCACATGTTATATCTTATCCTTTGTTAAAATCAGAGTAAATAAAATTACATTTTCTTTAAAGATTTCACTACATATCATGACTAGAGATATGTGAAATCAAATTTTAGTCCTGATTCTAGCAACCAAGACCACATATAAGAGAAGTTGCTGAGACCCACACGTCTGGACTATGAGAAAAAAATTGTTTCAGCCTGAAATCAAGATTATAGTTAAATATTCTATGATTTTGAAAGATATTATCTTATAATCATATCAAGACATAATTCAATCGAGCTGACCTAGAAAAATGCTAATCGTCGGCTGAATAAGTCAAAAGGCGAGTATTGAAGAATTCTTTTAGGTTTGATATGAATAAATTGTGGAATAGTTTTGTTTGGACTGGGCTTTAAAAGAAGCTTGGTCTCGAATACCTCTAATCATGATATATTTAATCGGTATCTAAAGAACGAATACATTATGAGTATTTCAATATATAAATTCCTATCTTGTAAAACATTTGAGATTCGTAGAGATATAGAGAGAAAAACCAAGATACTGCAGACTGCACTTTTAGCCTTCTATAGAGACTTGATCGTGTGATTTTGACAAAAAATTCAATTGGGAATTTTTCAAAAATAGAAATAATGTTGTTATCATTTTTTTCAAAACAAGAGTTACATATAAAACAATACTATTTAAATTATTTTTGATCAACTATGACAAGAAATAGTTCTAACTTCTGGATAATCATTGCATAGAAGTTTCATATTAAATGGACCTAATACTTTAAAATTTGTTTCAAGAACAGCAAATGGTTGAGAATGATAAATACTTTCTAGTAAGAATTTTTTGCAACATGAATGGGAGGAATACTAGGATTAGCAAGAGGTAAATTGCGATTAACCAAAACATTTTCATTTGTTTTATGCTATGCATAACGAGCACGATTACTTTCTAACAATTGAAGCATTTTTTCTCGCTTTCGTCATGAAAATTCACCATTGCAATTGTTATTAATATGTATGTCATGGCGCACCAATGAAATCATACTGGAAGAAATCTCTTAATATAAATAATGAATCTCAACAGATAGCTGAATCGATTTGAAAATACAAGACTTATTCACCTTGTACTTGATGCCAAAAGGATGCAGATATTAGAAATAGATTAATATATTTGCTACAGGTTAAAGTTTACTCAAGGAGTTTTCATTGGCTACTTATCAAATTTGTGAGCTGGCACTAATAATCATCATGTAGAAAGATGAGTTTCCACTTCCTCTGGTGAGCTGTGCGACAGATAATTAATCGTCTTTTATTTTGGCATGCACATCAGTTTACTTTAAATTTGTCAAACTAGCCCAGGCTTACAACCGGACTCATCAATTAGCTGTTCATCGTTCATAGTTGGTTGAACTTTTAAAATGGGCGGGTTTTCATTGGTTATTTGCTGTCTCCTTTTTATCGATTTTCTGAGATCTGAAACTAGTCTCTTTTGGTCGTTTTTATTGATTTTTACGGTTGTAGCGTTCCAGATATATGGACCTGAAAATTTCCAATTGACGAATTTTCAGTTGTCAACCAAACCTGAGCTCTATACTTGAAGTTGATATTTTCTCATAGCACAATAAGGGGTTCATATCATGCTGAATGCACTAATTATAGTCATGAAAAGTTAACCGATCATTAAAGACCTCTTTGATTTAAATGAGAGATTTTTCATCTCAAAATTTCCAGCGCATTTTCCTGAACTACTTTTTATCGACTGTCAGAAACTCTCAATGACAAGTTTCATTTTTCATTTTTGTTAAATAAACTTCAGAGAAGAATCTGTTCTTTTTTCTATGGAAGTGTTGCTAACCACTACTTAATTCAATTGTGACGATATGAAAACACTAAGAAACCTAAAAACATAAGCTTTAGCATAAAAATCTAACTCTGTAGCGCATTTTATCTCATGATCGACAGTGGGAACCTTATAAAAAGTGAGAAGCCTTTCAATTATGTTAAAAAATGATTTTAAATACGAAGACATTAAATCTACGAATTCTTGTAAATAAGTTATATAGATATTGAAGAAAACCAGGCGAAACAAAGTATAGATATTGTTCAATATCAATTATTGTGAATTAGCAGATGCAGAATTTTGAAAGAGTTCTTCTTTCGTTCTTAATATTAGTGCAGACTAAAATAGAAATTGTTACTATTGGACACTCTAACAGTTATATAAGCTTTACAGTGAACGTCTTCGTGAAGCTGCACTAATCAATTTTTCTCAATGGAACAAGCAGGTTAACTGATATATTCGAATTTATCGGGTTTTTCCCTTGTGAGTTCTGTAATTAACTCAGCCAGTTTTGTCCAGTTGAAAAAAAATCGATCTGTTACAAGCTTGTACTATTCTTGGATGCTATCTGTCATATTAGTTCCAGTCACATGAAATATTTACTGGTTATGAATTGAAATAACATGAAGTAGAATTTTCTTGGCCGAGAAATAAAACTTAAATAAATATGAATCGAAAGTATATAAATCTTTGTTAATTATCGATGAAGTAATCTAGCTATTTTGAGACGAATTCAGTCCAAAAACATATAGTCATATTACAAAAGTAATACGGTCAGCACTCAGCATATCTGGTAATTGATTTTTCAAATGTATTCATTTCGTATAGATTAATATCAGTTCTTAAGTGAGCTTGATTTTGTATCTTGTTTATTCAATTTAATGCACCACGGTGGAATAGACAGTATTACTAAATATATGTGAAGATCTACCTTTTTTGTGACGTGTTATTTTAGGAATGACTTTTTTCTCTCTAACTTGACAACAGATAGTAAAGAGCACTTCTACTAATGGAAATTTGATTTTCATTCAAGAAAAATCACCAAATAACTTTCTAGTTCCGATAAAAATATCCTGATTTTTACAAAACTTAGACTTGGTAACTCTCAATATTTCAATATTAGATCGTGATAACAAGTATATATAGATTGGCTATGGGAAGACACCTAATGAAAGACGTCCATCTAAAACTATACGCATTAAAGACTATTTTTATTATATTTATACCGATATATATTATTTTTTATTTATTTGAACGAATTCGATGTTATTTTTATTAAATTATTCATTTTTTCTAGTTCTCAAAGCCATTATTTATTAGTGTTATGAGCATAGTAAATGTTCGTTCTAATTTTTCTTAGAATTTCATTTGCTACATTCTATACATGCTAAGTGGTTGATTGTATAAAGTAAATGAACTACTAATAATTACACTTATTGACAATGAGAAGAAACAGTTCTAGTTTCAGGACATTCATTACATAAACGAGCCATATTAGCTTTACCAATAGTCTCAATATAAGGATTATGAACAGCGAATGGATGAGGATGATAAACAGTTTCCACTGCAAACGTTCTTGCAACGGCAACAGGAGCAACAGTAGCATTAAAGCGGGGTAAGTTTATTGAATACCACCCATCTTCATTAATTTGATTTAAATAAAATTGAACCTTATCACTTTGTAGCATTTGAAGTGTTTTCGTTCGACTTCGTATAGAAAATCCACCATTGCAACAACCACCACTGTTCCATGGCGCACCAATGAAATCATAGTGTAGGAAATCTGTCAATTTATACGATGAATTCGAACATATAGCTGAATCGATTTGAAAATACAATACTTTATCACCTTGTACTCGATGCCATAACGATAGCGAAGTCAAAAATAAATTGATAAAATCGTCACCAGAGAGATTGTTTCGTGCAAAATCTATTGGTGTCATAAACACACGATTGCTAGTAATGAATGAAGAAAGAGCAGATTTGTTGTAGAAAGACCAATGCTGAGTGTGTGTAAAAATTTGTACTTTCCAATCGATAGGAATATGCTTTAAAACATTCATAACAGCATGAACAACTTTTTCAGTTGCTCGATCATCTATTATTAATGCTATATACGGATATATACCTGTGTGTTTCTGAGAAGTATTGATATCAAATCGAGCAACATTCCATGAGTGGTAATAATAAATAATAATGTAAAGCAATATACAAGATACTAATAGTCGTAAACAAGATTTATAAGTAACTATAGTATGCAACATTTAGATCTGAAAATGTAAAATGAAGTGACTAGATACTAACAGTAGAGGGTCATGTACTGTTAGCGAAGGATACTTAACATATTCGAGTCCAATAAATGGTCTCATCACCAAACAATTAACAAATTTAAAATATTACATACCCATAGAATGTCAAGAGCAAGTTACTCAAATTTAAAGGTATGCAAAATTTAGGTATAAAAATTCATGATTGTAAAATATATCCCAGGCAGACAAACTTTTGAGAAAACGCGTTTAAACGCACAGAAATTGGCCTAAAATCAGCAAGAAGTGGACGTTTTTGGCTCACACTTTAGGTTCCCGACTGTGAGCCAAAAACGCCCATTTTTCGGCCTTTTTATGCGTTTAAACGCGTTTCCAGACAAAAAAACGCGTTTACATGTATACAAAAAAGAGAAAAAGTGGTCGTTTTTTCATACTCTGGATGCACGATCATGATTACAGTCCCGTTTCTTGAACTGGAAAAACTCAACAACTTTTTCTTTTTTTTGTATGCATGTAAACGCGTTTAAACGCACAAAAAAGGCTGAAAAATAGGCGTTTTTCGTTCACAGTCGGGAACCTCAGGTGTGAGCCAAAAACGTCCACTTCTTTCTGATTTTAGGCCAATTTCTGTGCGTTTAAACGCGTTTTCTCAAAAGTTTGTCTGCCTGGGTAGTGGTCTAGCGAAGCTTTTGTTAAACATCGAACTCTTTCGTTACTGCACTTACTTTGAATGCTAACCGATTAACTTTTATTCTTTTCATTTTATTATCCAGCCATGTTATTATCAATGACAATTTTATGTGTAACCTAACATTCTGTCATAGATCTTTAGAAAAACCTAGATGTTACAGTTAGTAACAAAATTGGAGAAGATTCTAATAGAATATGTGCCATACACAAGACATAGCATTATCTCGTAGCAATCGACAAAATTTGAACTATTTGTGAGCATTTATTAGAGGATTCCGTGTACCTTCTCGATGTTCATTTATTTCGAGATATTGACGCGAGAACAACAACCGAACAGAACAGAACAGAACCACGTAAGCGACAAGAGAGAGAGCATATATAGAAGGGATAAGCGGCAAAGAATGAATAGATGCCGATGAGTCAGGAATAAACATATGACTGTAACATTCCTCCTCACCGACAGAAATGTGGGTCCACACACATTTATAGAAACAACAACACACTAATATAAGAATAAGAAATGAAAAACTGAGAACGGCAATTGTAATAAGATAACAGATAGAGAGCCATAAAACGAATAGAAGAAACGATAGTATAATACCATTGCAGAAAAAAAAAACATATCAAAGAGATATGAAGAACGAATGCGATGTGTATGTCGACTCAGCTCGGTCAGCTCTTTTGTGATCGACTAAATTATATCGAAAACACGATTCGCTCGACGATTACGATTGAAGAGACGAAGCAAAAACGATTTAGCGAAGAATATTTGCGTTAAAAATTAAGGTTGCTGATTAGACCTTTAAAATGTTCGATTATGAATGACGTAGAATTGATACGATGAGATGAGAATGATATTGAGAATGTTTTTCATAAATAGTTTTGTGCGTATTTTTCTTGGATATAGTCTTAAAAATAATTACAGAGCGAATACCGAATGCCACGTGTCCGAATAATGTTATGAATAGTTCCATTGAATTATGTAATGCCGTATACTAACAGTGATTCTAGCTCGCGAAGAATTACTACTGTTATTACGTATGGTGATGAATAAAGTTTGTATTCTCTTGAATTCTTCACCAAAAAACTCTTAAGATGTATAATTAATCCGTAAATAAGTGCACTGATATATTTAGAACATTGTTATGTGCTGGATAGTGAAGTATTTTGAATCCAAAAAGAAGTGAAAACAAAATGAATGACAATATAGTGGGGTCGTAATTAAATAGTCTTGATGATTGGTTCGACGAGGTGTTATATAACTTAGCAGACGAAAATGAACCGTGTAACCCATGACTTGTTATCGGTCGTAGTTTACATTTCGATGTTGATAAATCATGACAAATAATACCCGTATGAAGTTTTTGTCGAAATTTGTGCTCTTGAATATTCGAATTCAATGAAGCGGGTGAATCAACTGTGGTTTCACTTATAAACGTGGAATCGATTTTTGGTTTAGACATCAGCACTTCTTGCAAGATATATGGTTGTTCCGTGGTTACTAGATCGTTTTGTTTCATTGCTAATGCTTCTGTGTCAGTTAAAGAACAAAAGGAAGCTTTTCTTGCGAATAATTTTCTTTGTGGTTTAATATCATGAAAATGCCACGACTCAGTACCATTGGGCCAAAATGCATCGGGTTCAGTTTAAATGCTTCTTTCTTGGATTAATAAATTTTCTTCATGAGCTTGCTTGATGAATAATTCGCGTTGAGGTTTTATTTCGTGTATGTGCCACGACTGAGTTCCATCAGGCCATTGTGAGTTCGATTCGGTTTCATTCGCAAGTATGACTATTTTCGGCAGCTGGTCCTCATTCACAGAATGTTCCATGGATTCGGAAGAATTGAGAGAGATGAATTCCTGTAGGCGTCGATATTCGTATTGACTTCGCTGTCGGCGAAGCAATTTTTCAACTTTTTTGTTTCTACTGGTTCAATGAACAGAAACCAGTTTTTGAATAAAACTTTTTGCACTCGTTGTCGTTCATTTAAATCTATGATAGTTTTCAGAGATTCATCAATTCGTGAAGCGATATCACTAGCACTACAATCATACTGTAAAATCAATGAAAGAGGTGAAAGCTGTTTTCGACTAATAGATGCAGTTTTGTGTTGATTATGAATTTAAGTTTGTTCAGGAGGCGTTCGGGGGACATTTTGACGGTTTGTTGAATCCAAACATCTAGGACAAATGATTGCGTCGTGTTGCAACCGGATTTTCTCTGCAATTGCTTCATATAAGCACTTGTTACAAATTGTATGCGAACATGGTTTAACTTTATAATGATACATATATATGCAGTCAAAACACACCGGATCCGATTGATTAGTAAGTTGCCACATTTTGCTTGTGGGTAGTTAATGTTTGCTATACCTTGAATTCAAGAACACCAAAACCGATACAAACGGAGGAGTAGAATGGTTCACTTTCTTTTTATGAAATAAAGAAAGTCGGTCACGGCACCAAATTTTAGAGGATTCCGTGTACCTTCTCGACGTTCGTTTATTTCGAGATATCGACGCGAGAACAACAACGGAACAGAACAGAACAGAACCACGTAAGCGACAAGAGAGAGAGCATATATATAAGGGATAAGTGTCAAAGAATGAATGAACAGATGCCGATGAGTCAGGAATAAACATATGACTGTAACAGCATTACAGAAAAAGAACGTTGGAAAATGAACAAAGAAATAAGAAGAAGATACACTACTATTTTTTGTCAATATCTCATTGAATTCTAACGAGTAGTTCTCACTCATTTTTCGATAATAGAAACGTTTAGTTCCTAATAAGTGTAAATATCTATCTAAATAAATGAAACTTTCTTCCTTTTCAAAACGTTTCATGAATAGAGATATTTTATACAATATTCAAACTTTTAATTCTTCTAAATTTTTGGTACATTTAGCTGCCAATTTTCTAGTAAGTCTCAATAGAAAAAAACCTAATCCATAGTGCGTCGTAACTGAGCACAAGTAACATATTAAGATATAGTGAATACAGTGATGAAGTAGTTATGCTTCCTAGCAGATTTCATATTTCTTTAACATTGACACTTATATGAATCAAAAGTTTGGAAATTCTACAAGTTAATTCTATCTATATCTTATATATTTAAAATGGATGAAGTTTCAGTTGTTTACATATATACTTCGACTTGTTAGAAATAAAAGTGTGTCGTTTTTTGAAAATAAATGAGACATATTCGTTGGAATTCGATGATATATAAACGAAAAATGAACGTCCATTGTTGATTATCAGATCAATGAAATTCAGTTTACAAGTAGGTCATATGCAAAACGATGATGCTTTATTCAAGAGACTGGTTTATCATAGACGAATGAAACGATATCATTGTTTGAACGAAAATTACGTTTAATTGAAAATGGTTAAGTAGTTTAAACTTTAATGAATCATTACTTAGTCCATTTATAGTCTGGCGTTTAAAAGACAAGAATGGGTGTATTACTTTTTATAATGGAAATCGTTTATTGCGAACAACCAGTATTTTCCTCAATGAATTCGAGTTTAGAAATTGTAATACTGTATATATAGCTGTAACGGCTAAGAAGTGCTTCTTGAACTACGTGAGAAACGTTCTTCTTAAATTATAGAATAATCTATGTTTTTGTGTAAAATAGTAAACTCTTTTACGAAAGTTGTAGAGTAACTTACCATATTGCTCCAATCTAAGAGTAATCTAACATTATGTACATAAAAACAAATCATTGTGGTGGCAACGTAGAATAATCTAGCTGTTATGAATCTGGTACTAAACTCTACAAATGGAAAATGTTGAATAAAAGATCCTAAAACATACTTCATATATCCGGTTTACTTTCGTATAGCCTTACTATTATAACTCTTTTGACTTGGGAACCCTTGAAGGATATATGAAATAGATATAAACTCTTAACGAAGTTTATGAGAAATCGCTTAAAAGGTAAGAGTTAAGGAATCGAGTCAAGGATTATGTCTGGTC